ATAAGGTGCAGTAGATGGCATTTATCGTTTCTGAGAATATGTCCAAAGTATGCCGATTTCCTTTTCTTTAATATACTTAGAGACTCTCTTTCTCTCTCTTGGTCCATGCGATGTAATACGTGATTGTAATGAGTCATTTGACATGTGCTCCATTTATGGTATCTCCCAGTATTTGACGAAATAACCATATCGAAACAACATCAAAGACTTCGATCGTCCTCATTGTAGTCGCACTCAACCGTCTTTGCCAAGCAAGAGTGAGTTTATATCTACTGAGAATCCTTACGAAAGATTAGCGAAAAATTCGCGTCCTTTGCGCAAAAGTAAAGTGTTTAGATGTATTGAAGAGAATTAGTGTTTTGCTGCGCCAGCTTGTTTAGGTCCTTACGGTTTTAGACTTGCTCTCCTAAATACAAAGTGTGACTTGTGATCCCGAGCTTCGCAGTGGTACATTATGTGCTCTGTTAATATAGGATTTTGATATCACTGACAGCTGATGAAACCATTTGAATCGGAGTATCTTTATATCAGTTTGTAGCCAAGACCTCCTTCATAGAGTTGAGCTTGCTCATTTAGCACTTGGCAGCCATATGTCCTGTCAAGAGACCGACTGCCTGTTGTATTCTTCCACAATATATTCCTGCTGAGCATTAGCAGTCTTTTTGTGGTTCTAGAATTAGGTCCTTGGATAAATGTCTCGCCACAATATTGTTTCTCCAATGAACGGTCTACTTTTCTCTGATTCAGAATTTTTCTGCACTGTGGGTTAGCTATTTCCAATGCTGGCTCTGGACCAAGATTGGATTTCGATGATCCTTGTTTGTCATGGATGCCGCTATGGTCCGACAGTCGAAGGCTTCAAGTAAATAATGTTCTAAGTGCCTAAATTTAATACCATTAGTTCGAGATAAACGACATTTTTTGTTACATAACCAAGGTCTAAGAGCGGGCGGTAATAATTTTTTTCAATACAATTAATAGCCGTGGCATTTAGCGCTTTATATGTTGGTGGTTATGGAAGTTTGGCTTTTAATAATGTCCATGAAATCTTCAGGTCCATTTAAAGGCTTGGAGATTGGCTCCCTTTTTGTAAGAAAATCAGCTGATCGATACTCAGACTCTGATACTGAAGTCCTCAATTCCTTTCGACTAGCCAATTGATTTAAAAGTGGTCTTTCTATAGTTTCGTGTATCATCGATGTATAAGTTTGTGATTTAAAGTAGCTGCTCTCTGGGATATTATACTGAATTATAAAAAACGGCGTCTACTTGGCTTGGAAATGACGATCGATGACATTCTTCACATAATTTTATACATAAAATGACAGTGACCCATTTCTAAGCCATCTTTGACGTCATTTTCTTCGTTAGTATGCTTCTTGCTATAGAAAGAGTGCTATTTAAGTTCCCTAGAGCCAAATAAAGGGCTTAAAGCGGATTTTAAAAAGTTAGTAGCATTAAAAAGTGTTCTTCTCAATATTTACGAAAGCTTTTACATTTATTTATTACTTTAAACTTATCTAAAAAAATCACATTTTGTGGTTCATATAATACAAAAAAGTACTCAAAAATATATTTATTTTTTATACATTTGCTGAAAGTTACTAGCTATTTTTTTAAGGCAATATGGCAACAATGTGATTACTTCGCCATTTTCTTTGTTTACGGTGTTTAGTGTCTCGCTTTTCCGAATGAAAATTTCACGGGAAATTTTCTCTCTCGGCTTTTTTCGTCGGTAAAAATTAGTTTTTTCGGTAATTTATGGTTTTGATTTAATTTTTTCGGTTGTATTTTCAAGTGGTGGATAAAATAGGAAGGATACGTTTCAGGAAAACTAAGAAAATGTAAGTTTTCCGCTAATAATTTAAGGTTATGATTCTAAAAGCCGGGTAGATTTTTTCTTGTTTAAATTTTGAATTATTTTTTTATGTTTGAATTCTATTATGATGCTAAATTAGAATTAAATAAAATCAGATTTATTAATTGGAAAATTATTTTACTTTTACTGGTTACTTTTAATACAGGGCGAACCAGCGTTTAGAAATAGTGCATATCAAATTTTTTACTATAGATTTTTACCTTTTTCTTTTATAAAATATGCTGGTAAGAGTAGCGCCATAATATGTGTAAATAAAGTATTTTCTGCATATATACAGGGCGATACAATTATTATATTTTCACACAAAATTTGTAATTATTAAATGGGTTGTATATTTTTTTCCGCTCAGTGGCTTTGGCATAAAATTATACATTTATGCATTCCAAAAATATAATTATATACTGTACAGGATATCCCATTTTTGTGTGTTTTACAGGGATTCTTGTTTATGAGTATAGATACAAAGATGCAGTTTTCACATTTCTATGGTACTTTTTTTATGAAACTAAAGATGATACACACAGATTTTGTCCTAGCCTTAGTTACTAAAATACAAGGCGAATTTTAAAATGTTGTATTTTCGACTTTCTTCCTATGTTGATTATCTTATAACTTATCGAAAAGATGAAAACTGTCATACCTTTTGTGAGTTTTTCACGTAGAATCCAATGAGTCATATTTAGTAAAAATATATTTGCTCTTTATATCTATCAAAATAAGTTGCCGGCATAATATTTTATAAAATAGATTTGAGTGAAATTCCTAAATAGGAAACTTTATGTGGTGATTTCCTGGAATAGTGGTCTACTCGTCCACTCTGTATATATTTGGTAATTTATTAACGACCAGGTTGGTTGTTCTAGACAGTCACGCACATTGGGCATTTTCCTCAAAAGCTTTGCATGTTGTCGACGATTTTTCAGTTGGAAAATGAGGCCTTTTCGGTTAATATAATTGCTTATTATATTTTTTTCCTAACCAAATTACAACAAGTAATTAACTGTTATGGTGCTCACATCAACGTGTTTAATCAGACTTTTAAAGGTACATTGTGAACTATGGTCTAGTGAATATTATTTTTTTTTAATAATTAATTATTAAATTACAGTCTAAATTACACAAGTTGCATTACAAGCCGATAAAACTAGGTCAATTTTATTAAGACACTGACAGTAGCTTACTACGTTTTTTTATACTTATTTAATGTTCAATTAATTTTGATGGGTTTGTTAATACCGAATGTTATTTATTTTCTATGTTTCCAGTTTCATGTAAAAAATGCATACAAAAAATCTAAATCGACATTTAGAGTAAAGGAATAGCTGTTAGAACACCCTGTACATTGAATGCCTTAATATAACATCTGTGATAAAAACGTCATTTCGTTATTGATACTCAAATACAGAATTCAGAAAGTCCATAATGTTGTGAGTTTTGTCCATACAACAATAACCGAATAATTTTAAAAATTTGTAATTATTTGTAATCAACCACCTCTTAATTTGTTTTTGAATTTAATTGAGAATTCATGACATTCTAAAAAATTACTTTAGCTTTAAAAAACAGAGATGTTTAATAATAAACTTAACACCATCAGTTGTGAAAATTTTCATAAAATTTGTATTCTAACACACAGTTTTTTCATTATTTTCCTTTAAATGCATGCCTATTTTCAATGATTTTCATATTATAAAAATAGTTCACCATTTTGTCAAGAATTATTTGAAAATATCATTTTTTAATTATTAATATTTGATAGGATACAATCACAGATATATATTGGTATGTTGATATGATATAATAATGATTTTTACTAGAATATTTTTTAGAAATGTATGTTTCAAGAAGTACTTGTTTAAATTTAAATAAATTTTTTGGGCTTTTCTTCACCTGTTGAAGGAAGAAACAATATTACTTTTGAGTTAACATAACACTATCATTGATATATACCTTTCTTATTGGGCAAACTAGTGTTTAATTATTAATCTACACTTTTGAGATCAACTGAAAGTAAATAAAAGTTTGCGATTAAAAACAATATACAGTATGTCCCCAGATTTGTCTTTAAAAGAGGAAAAACTTTTCAATTAATGACATTTTGAGAAAATTCATTCTTCATAAAAATTTTTGCTTGTTCTAAAAATATGAAAATATGGTGGAATTTTTTCTAAGTCTCTAGTACAATGCTACGGAAAGGGTGATGATAGGTATCGGAAAATGTGATAGGTTAGTTACTTTAATAACAGCAAAAAATATGACGTTAATCAAAATTAATAATATCCATCTATCAAAGAATGAAATCGAAGTGATATTACCATAGAAACGCCTTTTGATTTTCAGGAAAATTCCACCATATTTTCACGTTTTTCTTAATTTTCTCTAAAACGGTATGGAAATTTGAAAAAGTATAAACGGGATTAACCAATCTAGAACAAACAATTTTTTTTTTGAAAAATGCATTTTTCCCAAAATGTCAATAATAATAATGTTTTTCCTCTAGCAAAGACAATCCGGGGCCAATGTACAGTAAAATAACTACCAAAAGAAAAACAATAAATTATTCAAAACTTTTGATAATGATAGCCATTTTTGGTAATGATAACCATTGTCTAATATAAATGTGTGTGGCTAATATAAAGATGCCGTAAGGGTGTAGGGTGGTGATGGAAGTGTTGGTAAAAAAGAAATCTTTTATGCTTTTATTGATACCACTGGAGAACATTTCACCAGAGTCATTCTTCGAAATTATTGCTCTGTCTGCATAAATTTGAATTACAAAATCTTCTATCACGTTTATACTAGAATTCATAATTTCAAACTCGGCTAAAGGATTCAGTCGAAATTACATGCCCTTAGTTTGTATTTTCTTTATTGATACGTTGTACAGAGTGATATTTTTGAAATTTTTCAATCCCACAAAAGCTTTGGTTTCTACGATGTCTACATTAACGTTCTTTAAGCTCAAACTCATAAAATCTGTGGTTGATACTGAGCAACTCTTGCTGTGGAATATCTTGTCTACTATGGCAAAATCGTGATAGAGTGAACAGAGTATAGTTTTGTTATTAGATAATCTATATTTTTCAGACTAACTGGAAGTACATAAAATTATGATTGAAATCATAGGTATATACAGTAAAATAACAGCCAAATGCCTAAACCAAAACAAAAGTAAATCATTCTAACTTTTTGTTAATAGTAGATATTTTTTTAAACTGACACTATATACACAACAGATAACGTTATATTAACAAACAGTGTTCTTTCTAAACTAAAGTTTTGTGATTAAAAATTATATAGTGTAAAAATGCAACAGCTATCCCTAAAAATTTACTTTCTGCTTTTCTTGAAGATGTAGAAGACTGAGCTGTTTGTTGATTGGTGTAATCATTTTGTTCTGTTGAATCTTCTGCTTCCTCTATCTCAAAACTTGTAACATATTCTGCTGAAGTTGACGTTGATTCAGCTTCAACTGCTGGTACATCAACTTTGATTTGCAATCGAGCTATACACAAACTCTCAATTGTGACATTTTTCAAACACTTTCCACACTGTATCATATCCTTTACAACTGCTACAGGCAAATTACACGCTTGGAAACACACATTATCGCTACTTTCATTCAAAACCATTTTATAGAAAGTATCAAGCTGCAAGGTGTTGGGTCCGTGCCCTAAATCCGAGACCAGCCAACCAAGATTCACAGGAACAGTAAAATTTGTTTCTGCTGAATACCATCTCAGTTTTGACGTTTTCGTACGATACGTAGTCAGGACTTAAACTGCCGGCGTCAGCAAAACTGATCGTGTTTCTGCTGCAGTCGAAAATAAACTTCACACACAATTTGCCTAAGTTTATTTCAGACACTTTCAAGACTCCTGGACTGATTTTTTCTAGAGCATAGCTTTTTAAGTGGGTGAAGACATTGTCTAATATAAAAGTGTTTGTGGCTAATATAGAAATACCGTAAGGGTGTAAAGTGGTGGTGGAATTGTTGGTAAAAAAGAAATCTTTCATGCTTCCATTGATACCACTGGAGAAAATTTCATCAAAGTGAATCTTCGAAATTATTGCTCTGTCTGTATAAATTTGAATTCCCATATCTTCAATGACGTTTATACTAGAATTCATCATTTCAAACTCGGCTAAAGGATTCAGTCGAAATGACATGCCCTTTGTTTGAATTTTCTTTATTGATATGTTGTACAGGGTGATATTTTTGAAATTGTTTAATCCCACAAAAGCACAACTTTCTACCGTGTCTATATTAACGTTCTTTAAGTGCAAACTCTCGAAATCTGTGGTTGGTACTGAGCAACTTGCTGTGGAATATCTTGTCTACTAGTGCGAAATCGTGATAGAGTGAACAAAGTATAGTTTTGTTATTAGATAAAGATAATCTATATTTCTGAGACTAACTGGAAGTACATAAAAATGTGATTGAAAACATATATACAGTAAAATAACGACCAAATGTCTAAACCAAAACAAAAGTAAATCATTCTAATTTTTTGATAATAGTAGATATTTTTTTTAAATTGACACTATATACACAACAGATAACGTTATATTAACAAACAGTGTTCTTTCTAAACTAAACTTTGTGATTAAAAATGACATACTGCAAAAATACAACAGTTAAACCTAAAAATGTATTTCCTGTTTTTGTTGAAGAAGTAGATGACTGAGCTGTTTGTTGATTGGTGTAATCATTTTGTTCTGTTGAATCTTCTGCTTCCTCTGTCTCAAAACTTGTAACATATTCTGTAGAAGTTGATATTGATTCAGCCTCAAATGTTGGTACATCAACTTTGATTTGCAATCGAGCTAAACACAAACTTTCAATTGTGACATTTTTCAAACACTTTCCACACTGTATCATATCCTTTACAACTGCTACGGGCAAATTACACCCTTGATAACATACATTATCGCTACTTTCATTCAAAACCATTTTATAGAAAGTGTCAAGCTGCAAGGTGTTTGGTCCGTGCCCTAAATCCGAGACCAACCAACCAAGGTATTCACAGGAACAGTAAAACTTGTTTCTGCTGAACACCATCTCAGTTTTAACGTTTTCGTAGGACACGTAGTCAGGACTTAAACTGCCAGCGTCAGCAAAACTGATCGTGTTTCTGCTGAAGTCGAAAATAAACTTGAGTTTGCCTAAGTTTATTTCAGATACTTTCAAGACTCCTGGGCTGATTTTTTCTAGAGCATAGCTTTTTAAGTAGGTGAAGATATTGTCTAATATAAAAGTGTTTGTGGCTAATATTGAAATGCCGTAAGGGTGTATGGTGGTGATGGAATTGTTGGTAAAAAAGAAATCTTTCATGCTTCCATTGATACCACTGGAATAAATTTCACTAAACTCATTCTTTGAAATTATTGCCCTGTCTGTATAAATTTGAATTCCCATATCTTCAATGACGTTTATACTAGAATTCATAATTTCAAACTCGGCTAAAGGATTCTGTCGAAATGACATGCCTTTGGTTTGTATTTTCTTTATTGATACGTTGTACAGGGTGATATTTTTGAAATTGTTCAATCCCACAAAAGCACCAGTTTCTACCGTGTCTATATTAACGTTTTTTATGTGCAAACTTTCGAAATCTGTGGTTGGTACTGTGCAACTTGCTGTGGAATATGTCTTGTCCACTTGGGCGAAAGTGTGAAATGGTATAGTATCGATATGAGTGATGTTTTCCAGTGTGACTTTCGGTGGTACTACCGAATCGACCTTGGTCCTAAGAAAGGATAATTTTTCGACGTTAGTTATCTGAAGGTACAGTAAATAGGGGTTTTGTTTAGGGCATCCCATATTAATGGTGACTTTTTCACAGTTGTTTATGCTGATTTTTTCAGTTGTTGTCGCTGTTCCCATTTGGTTGATGTATATGAGGATGTCCTAAATAAAAAAAAAATAAAAAATTGTATTTTATATAAATGTAATACCATAATATGAAAAAAAAACGACGTCAAAGCCGGCTGGGGAATGACAATCGATGATAATTTTGGCGAGGTCAAGCCCTATACGTCATTACTTGGCCCGTATTTTTACTCTTTTTTATTTTTTACTTGTGCGTACTGCCAGTTGGGATTAAGAAGGCCCTATGTAATTTATTTTTATATTGAATAAAAGTAATTTTTAAATAGTGTATTTTAAAATTCGATAAAAAATATTTTTTTGGAAATAGATTTGTGTATCTGTGAAACGTATTTGCGTATCTGTGAGTGTATCTATGTGAAACGTTCTATCCTTTCTTTATCTTTCTATAATTAGTGTTCATGTTTGACAAGTTTTATGTATAGTATTTAGTAAAATTATCATCGATTGTCATTCTCCAGCCGTCTTTGGCCATCGTTTTTTTTTGGATCATACTGTACAATATGTAATATAATATATGAGCGAAAGAAAACTATGTCACGGTAGGCATAGAAATAATATTTCAGTTTGAGCTTGCGTATACCGGGTGCGTCTCAAAAGTGGCTCACCCCCTATAACTTTTTTATTTTTTCAGATTAAAAAACGAGATTTGGTAAGTTAGTATATAACATAAATTAGGACCATTATTTTTAGTCAGTTCCTGTCAGGGTTCGGAAGTAGTTAATTAAGACGTAATTTACCTGATTAACTACGTGTAGTTTTTCTTCAAAAACTACATCTTTTCCCGTTCGTTAACTACATGAAAACTAACTAAAACTACATGAACTACTTAATAAACTACCTATTGATATTATGAATAATTTTGCTTTGTATGAGGAGTCTAAATAATATGATGTGAATGGTTATAGTTAAAGCCATATTTCTTCTGTTTTTTTTAATATATTATGTGTTTTCTAAAGCTTTAACTTATTATAACCTTACCTCATACCTTTGACATTTGAAAGTTACATACATATATGTTACATAAACTACACCCTCTACATTAACTACATGTAATGTAGTTTATGTAGTTTTTCAAAGTAACATGTAGTTTTCTGAACCCTGGTTCCTGTTTCACCGGAAAACTACAACTTTTGATTTTTAAATGACACCTCCGGTATAATTTTGCTTTGTTCGATAGAAAATGAAACTCTGAATAGGTCGACATATCATATGTCAACTTTTGACATTTTCGCTTTAAATAAAAATCGTATTTTAAATTTCAATCTAGAGTGCCATGACTGTGTTAAAAACACTAGTTTTTAATAAGGGGCCTTGGAAAAATAGATTTGATCCCCTAATGTTTTTCGTGTCTTTTCCTGGCCGGTTAAAAGATGCCCAAATCGTATTTTTAATCATATCTCAATTTTTTCAAATGGAACATGGGTGGCTCATTAGCATATTTGGAAAAAGCATTTTTTACGAACATTTACAATTTTAAATAAACCATACGCGAAAATGTCAAAAGTTGACATATGATATGTCATTCTATTCAGAGTGTCCCATTCCGAGGGTGCCATTTAAAAATCAAAAGTTGTAGTCATTTTCAGTAAAACAGGAAGTGACCAAAAATAATTGAATAAGTCAATCAATCCTAATTTATATCATATACTTACTAACATACCAAATCTCGTTTTTTTATCTGAAATAAATAAAAAAAGTTATAGGGGTGAGTAGCTTTTGAGACGCAGCCGGTATAATATATCCGTTTAAAAAAAAACAAAGAAGAATTATTTTATATTTTAGAGAAGTTTGGCGTAGAATTTTGAATACCCTGTATGATTTAAGATTAATTGCGATATTTATATTAAAGTAAGTACAGATCATCTAAAGTAAATACCTAATATAGTTTTGCTTTCAGGACAGTTCTTGTATTTGAAATAATTTTTTTAATAAAGGTTGAAAAATATATTTTTTTTTTATTTATTTATTAATATCTCTGAAAATATCGAAATTATTTACTCATATCTTAGGATTATGTAAAATAGCAAAAAATGCAATAATATACAGGGTGTTGCATTTAAAAAATCATCCCGATTTACTCACACTCACACTTTTTTGAGTCACCCTATAGAAGTTCTCCTGCACTATTGCCGGACCCTGTATATGAGTTATGTTTTAAATTACTTACGGTGCTTGTCTTAGGACATTCGTAGTAGATATCAGATTTTTTGTTTGCATTAGTTTTACAAGTAAATCCATCCAAACCGCATCTTTTAAACATAATTCTAGTGGCGGCTGTACAGTTCTTGATAAAATACAGAAGCACGATACTTTTAACGAAATATAAACTCAGATTTTTTATTACAATCATTCTGGATATTTATTAACGAGTATCTGGTGTAACACTGACAAATATCCCTTGATTATCCGTGTGTGCTCGATGAGAGTTGCAGGAAGTTATTATCTGTTACTGTAAAATACTTTGTTTAAAAAAAATATCGTTTAGAACTTTTGATAGACAGACATCCGTTGTGCAAAAAATTTATTCTTGCAATTATTTTGTTATTCATCAATGCTGATAAATTATAAAGTTTTTATACAGGGTGCTACAAATTTGAGGTACGAGTATTGGTATCTCGGTAACCGTAATAGATATGACCATGTTAAATTGGGGCAAAGTTGCGCTTTGGGATGTTCACCAAGATGCCATCAAAAAAGTTTTAAAAATTTCAAGGATTGCTGAGTTTTTTGGAAAACCGGATTTTTTAAAAAATCAATTTAATTTTTTCCTGTCGTTACTTTTTAGAATATCGAAAAACTATTCTCATAGCCACTTTATTAGGGGTATCTGATAGTGTTTTTAGATTTTCAAATCAGCTGATAATTTGTGAGATACAGAGGCCAACTTAATTTTTTTTTAAATACGGACCTGCATTTTTTATTTCAGCTTTTGAAAAGAACTCGATCGTCTACGATATGCCACACATATTTTTATTTGTTTCCGGCATTTGAACACAATTTATTCAAACCAATTTCAAGTCCTCTGTTTTTTTAAATATTTAATCTATTCATCGTTACAATATATTGATAAGCTTTCAAACTTAACAATGACGGGGGGTAAAACGGAGAAAATACGGAAAATCAAATGCAATGAAATAATAAAAAATAATATAAAATAAATAATATAAATATGATATAATATAAACAATCAAATCATTTCCCCGGAAGATGGATTGGAAATGGTAGAGCAGTATAATGGCCAGCGAGGTTCCTAAACCTGTCGCCAAAGGGGCGGAGGGGGGGAGGGCATTATCTCAACATTTACAATAAAGAGTACAAAATGCATTCGGAAATATAAGAAGAAAGTTCAAAGAGCTATAAATAAAATTGAACGAAAAATAAATTTGTGCAATAGGGAGGGTGGTAACCCTTTCGAACATGTAGAGCATTAGAACTTAGTTTGTAGAAGTTGATTTATTTATAATAACTACGATTAATATTATGCATATTATTAGATCGCACACAGGGATTCACGTAAAAAAAAATAAAAATAATATCTTTAAATTGCTGACCTGGATATTATTTATTTGAATCTTCCAATTGGCTCGATTTTCCTTATTCAATGTTAATTAGTGCTGATCAATATTGTTGCGATGAATATAATCAGATTAAATAGTTTAAAAAACCAGATTTGAGTTTGAAATTATTTTAAATAATAATTAAATAGTTTTGTTGTTTTAAGTCCGACTCTGTTTTTTTTTTAAATATTTAATCTATTCATCGTTACAATATTGATAAGCTTTCAAACTTAACACTGATGCGGAGGAAAACATTGAATACGGAAAATCAAATGCAATCAAATAATAAAAAATAATATAAAATAAATAATATAAATATAATAAAATATAAACTATAATTTCCCAAAACAAAAAAAAGTTTAAAGTGTGTCATATAATTTTACTCAGGAGACCGAGTTCTTTCAAAAACTGAAATAAAAAGTGCAGCTCAGTATCTAAGAAAAAATAAGTATCTCTCAAACTATCAGCTAATTAATACTATCAGATCAGCCTTAGTAAAGTGGCTATGAGAATGCGCAATTAGTTTTTTGATTTTCCAAAAAGTAACGACATGAAAAAATAAAATTAATTTTTTAAAAAATCCGGTTTTCCAAAAAACTCAGCAATCCTTGAAATTTTTAAAACTTTTTTGATGGCATCTTGGTGAACATCCCAAAGCGCAACTTTGCCCCAACCTAACCCATTTTAACCATGTTCGGAAAAAAGGTTCAAAATGGGCGGAAAAGCACAATTTCAGGTTCAATACCGCTCCTAGAGGATTCTAGCGGAAGGACGAGGGGGTAGGTGCTCAATGGTTCGGAGTATTTAGTTTTCGTCCTACTTCTATCTTTATTCCTGCTTTGGTTTTGGAAGCATCAGTATACCACGTTATGGTATGGTTCTGTTAACTTCCGAGCAAACATTTCTCTCTTCTTATTCTTTTTGTTCTTCAACACTATTTCTATATACAGAGAGGGGTTTTTCTAAGTTGTAAATTTTTGGTAATGTCAACTGGGAGTTGGGGGAGTGAAATTTTCGGTTGTGAGTGTGTTGTGGTGAATTTTCCCAGTACTGTTTCCGTCAATGACCATTCTAATCATTGTCGCATTAGCATATCTACCAATGACAATGTGCTATGGTGTTAGGCCTAGAATGACCTCAGTTGCTGCTATTGGGCAGGGTCTTATGTAGTGATGGCAAAAACCGATTAATTTCAATAATCGGGTACTCGAGTTTCAAGCGATTGCAATAACCGAGCGATCGCTCGTATTTAAAAATACGGTTTTTCGTCCATCGCTTGTTGTAAGTACTCGTTAACGCCAAGCGCCAAGTAGTAAGTTGCGTGCGCAGGGCACATATTCTTTCGGTGACGAATGGCAAGTAGCAAGCGACGAGCGATTTGCTTGATCGCTTGATTTAGTTTATTTCAAAGCATTGTCGATGTAGGTCGTAAAACTTTGTCCCTCAGATACGCAACGGATAAATATATATACGGCTTCGTATAAATTTGCTACCTGTAATGTATGTAGAAAATTCGCTCGGCTTTTTATCGAGTCTGTTACATTAAAATCAGATTTCAATTTATTTTATTCTAGGATCGCTTGCATTCGTCGCTCGTAACTCGTCACTTGCATCGCTCGTTCATAATCGAGCGATGTCGGTTATTTCAATAATCAAGTACTCGAGCGAATCTTCGCTCGAGTTATCCCATTACTAATCTTATGGCTCCTGTGATGCAGATGCATACCAGTCTCTGCAGTTTGCACAGTTTTTGGCAACGAAGGCAGATCGTGTTAATCCTATTTTTTTTATCCAGAAACACAACATAAGACAGAATATGTAAAAAAATTTGTGTCCATCTTTTAGGCATTCCGTTTTTCCGAAGGGTCGTAGCGGTGTGCGAGCGAGAACGTGAAAAGCGGGCAAGTTTCGGGGAAATCCCCCCTCGCCGCCGCCTTTTAACAATTCAGTAACTCGAAAACGTGAGGGAAATACGGGAGGCGGACGCCAGACGGTGCCTCACGTCGATTTCGGGTCGTTTTTTTCGCTTTTCGGGGGGATGTTTTTTCTCTCGTCTTTCTGGCCGTATAAATAAAAGATTTGAGGCGGTAATAAGTTGTTTTTGGTGAGCCGTGTCCTGTACCGTCGCGTCCGTTTCTTGAAGAAAAAACGCAATTTATTAGATTACGTTTTTTTAAGATGACTGGGTTCATTCAAGTCGTAGATAAACAAATTATTTGTACCTTAGAAAAAAAAAGAAATCTTAAAAAGTTCCAAATATACAGGGTGGTCCGAACTGTAGTACGGAAACTTCGGCAGCATATTCTGCTGATAAAAATAAGTAAAAATTGGTGTGTGGGAGTTTTTTGATATGAGAAATTTGATTTTGATGTCATTATATCTTTATTTATATAAAACGTTAAATGCCGAACGCTTCGAAATTATTTTGCTACTTTTTGGGACTAGTGAAATGGACTCTTAAGTAATGACGACCGTTTTTATTACACACACCGGAAAAATCTAGGGATATAATTTTATTAAAGTTAAAAATAAATGTTTTGAATAAACAACCACATATTTGTAGGCCAATTCTTTCTACTTCGATTGAAGCGAAGTAGTCACACTAGTTATTTCTAAATTTGGGATATTTGCAGAAGTGTTTGTGTATTTTTTGTCAAATGTATAAAAAGCACCTAGCATCAATTGTTCGAATTTAACCTGTACTGGCTATGTTTTTATGATAACTGGCCAGAATTCATTCAAATAACTCTGTTTAGTGTTAAACGACATTATGGAGAGTAGACATCTTAACAGAGATGAAATGCTAAGGGCCATGGGTATGCTCGAAGCTGGAATGCGCCAAATCGACGTAGCTAGAGCATTAAATACAACTCAAAGTGTAATATCGTGATTAAGTGCACACTACCGTGAAAGTGGTGAGGTTGCTGAAAGGCACATAGGGCGACATCGCATTACTACCCCTCAGCAAGATCATTTTTTACAATTAGATGCTCGACGCCGACCGACTCTTACAGCACCAGAGCTTAGTTTAATTCTCCAGGAAACACATAATGTAACCGTTAGTCCTGACACTGTTCGCAATAGATTAAGAGAGGTTAACTTAAGAAGCAGACGCCCATGGAGAGCTCAACCTTTAACGAGAGGAAATCGAGAGGTACGACATTTGTGGGCTCAAGATCATGTTCATTGGTCGAGTGAACAATGGGCCAATGTTTTCTTCACGGATGAGTCACGCTTTGGAATTCATCCGGATTCGAGAAGGCTTAGGGTATGGAGAGAACCGGGAAGTCTTATTCGGTTGGATCATGTTCAGGAAGTGCACCCTTATCAAGGTGGAACAGTTATGGTCTGGGGAGGAGTCCAGTTAGGCCGAAAAACCCGTCTCGTTTTTCTTGAAAGGTTTCTAACAGGAATCACATATCGTGATTTAATTCTTGAGCCTGTCGTGTTACCATATACCAATGATTTTGGGAGAAACATCATTCTCATGCATGACAATGCACGGCCTCATACAGCCAGAGTGGTATGTGAGTTTATCAATGCTCATCAATTAAACATCTTACCCTGGCCGGTACAATCTCCTGACCTCAACCCCATCGAGCACTTATGGGGCGCCGTCCAAAGAAGTATTTTGAGAATGGGTATGCCTCGTGAAACTCGTAGGGATCTGGTTCGGGCCGTGAATGCAGCGTGGCAGGCTGTACCTCAAGAAGAGATCGACAACCTGATCAGGAGCATGGAGAGACGATGTAGGGCTGTAATGAACAGTAGAGGAGGCTATACCCTTTATTAAGTAAAAATGGTTTTATCACAGTTTAGAATAAAAAAAAGATGTGTGTA